TCCAATTTTAAAATGTAGAAAAGCCTTAACTTATGATTTGTTTTTGGAAAGTCAAATTTCTCAACGTGAATCACAAGGGCTGTTCCCAAGTTTAGTTTGGCAGATAGTCAAAGAAAGGTGCTTAAGTTTGGCAATTTTACAGAAAATGTAATATACTAATTTGTCTAATTTGTTCGACACCAAATATCTCAATCTTTCAACTTCTAAGGCATGTAACATTGTAAATCTTAAAAATAAAAAGAAAGTGCCTGGATGTGTTAGGGTTTGTTTGGATGTCCCTTATATTCAGATGGTCTTATTTACAATAGAAACAAATTGTAATATAGAAATTGAACATCTTAAATAGAAATATTTTAAATTTCCCAAAAGTTATTTTTTTGCCCTTTCCTAGACAAGAAACTTGCACTCACTGTCTCTATGAGAACTTGAACCTCGACTACTACTTTAAAAGTTGAACCTCGATGTGTTATTTTCCAATAAAAATTATGCTATTGAATGTGTTACTACTAAAACAAAAATTAGAATACATTTTGTTTTATCGTTAATTGAAAATTAGTATAAAAGAAGAACAAAAATTTACGGAATTCCCCAAGGGCCCAACAACAAATAAAACAGGTCAGAGACTGGAACAAGGCGGAACAAAGCCTAAAGAGCAAAGAGTACTAAAGAGAAGCTAGGCCCAATCATCAAATACGGCCCAACCCAGGGTCCAAAAACCTGTAATCTGAAACCCAAATAACTACCCGAATTTAACTAATAGCTAGGAATCACAAGAACAAAGGCTTTGTTTGGATGTAACTAAGACCATCTGAATATAAGGGACATCCAAACAAACCCTAACACATCCAGGCACTATCTTTTTATTTTTAAGATTTACAATGTTATATGCCTTAGAAGCTGAAAGATTGAGATATTTGGTGTCGAACAAATTAGACAAATTAAACTAAACCAGTCTAGCTTTAAACTCGGCGATCTAGGCTCCCTTTGTTTGGATGTAACGATTTTTTTTTTTTTTTTTCTTTTTTCAAGTAAACTATAGATATATATATATATATATATTTTGAATCTCAGTGTTAGGCAAAAGTTTAGATCGAAGGTAAGGATGAGTCCATCTATGTGTGTAAAATAACTTGTCAAAAACTAATGAGAAAATTAATTTTATTAGATTTTTTTTTTTTCTCTAAAATATTTTACTGACAACCAAACACTATAAAACAAAAATATATTTTCTGAAAAATATTTTACATTCAAACAAACGGAACCCTAAGGTAAGGAGAACAAAAGGCAAAGAACACAGATGAGTTAGAGTTAATCAAATGAATGGAAATAATTATTCAGACTAACGTACGAACTAGGAAGAGACATTTGCAGCTAGCGCCCAACAGACATGGGACGACCTCTAATCAGAGTTGTAGAAGGATTGAGTCAGCCTCGAATAGGAAGAACAAAAATTATCGAAGATTCAAGCATCAGAATATAAAGCACAACACACGAACAATTGGTTTGAGTTAGAAATTAACTTCCTGTATTAAATTGTATCATAAAAATAATTTAAAAAGTTATCCATATTAAGTGAAATGTTAAAGGTCCATCAAGAAGTATTTGGACATAGAGATTCCAAATTTAGCTCAAAGTTTTGTTTCGCTATTTGCAAGGAAGCATCTTAGTACTCCCCAATTAACTATTATCAAAGGTTATAGCATAGATCCAACAAATTAAACAAGGACAGAAGCACTTAATTTTAACTGTTTTTTTTTTTTTTTTTTTGGTTAAATCAAAGCTCTTAATCTCAACTGCTGTTCTTTTCATCTCCTAAGCTATCTTTAAATGCACATTGAATAATGTAAAAATGCAAACATTGTATTCATATAGGATGAACCAAACTATATGTGATACCCCTCGTTTCTAGAGCCACGGGTGATCAAATCCGAGCACAGATCCGAGAAATACCAAACAATCAATATGTAACCAAGCAAGAATAAAACTGAATTAAGAATAAAATAATAATGCGCTGAAAGAAACTAAAATGAAAATCCTCGAACCTTAAATAATAAATTAATAACATGTAAATCCGTCAAATCTGTACAACTCGGGAATCCATCTAGTGGACCCCTAATAATTCCAACTGGTAAAACATTTACAGAATCAAAATCCAAAACCAAAATAAGAAAGAATATCCTATGTAGTCGGAAGAGTGAGTGACTGTATCTGCATCACCACGATCAAACCCTAAGCCTGGTACTCACGAACACCTGAAAAATAGAAGTGGGTCAGGCCCACATGCAAGTTCCAATCTACTACAATCCGTACATAAACCCGATAAGCAGATACATCCTAGATAGCTCGGCAATATCTACAATAATCCATATATATATATACACACTATAGGATGCTCACTAGCCTATAACATAGTTTAGCCTAAGTAGAAGGTGACCTATAAAACACGTTTTTCAGCGGCCAAGTACCTAGACCTACCAGGGAACATTTGCTATATCTAGCTACTCAACCTTTGCGATATACGCACCCTAACCGTGATCAGGAGACTCAAGCTCGTATCACAGTACCATAAATATATATATAAATTCCTTCCTAATGTCGAAAGATAAAATAAGCATCCATTATGTCGTTCAACTGTTTTAGTTGACAGGACATGTATCCATGTAGGAGTTAACTATTTTAGTTAATCCATTCCGTATGTAAGAAGGGGTAGGACTTAGCTTTTTGATCTAATCCATCCCTGATATATCACCGTCTCATACCGGTACATATAATGCAAATGATCCATAAACGATGCACATTCATTAGAACATCAAATATATCCAGAAACCAGCATAATAGAAATCAGATATTTTTAAGATCCTATCATGCAACCAGTATATGATTAGAATCATAAATTCTCCAAATAAACTGTTAAAGTACTGATAAACAATTTATATTATTCACATCCATACAGTTGATAAACAGCAATTGAAATAGTTCATCAATTAACATCCATAGCACAGTATAATGATTGTCAGAAGTAAAACCTGAGCACATTATGCTAGCATTCCCAAACCATCCTTTTCCATACTAGTTCATTCAAATTATTACAACCGAGACTAGTCATGAAATCCTCCTCAACCCCTGACGGCATAAAAGTTAACGTTTATAATACACGACGTCCCTTTTTAATCCTGCATCCTAAAACTTGTGCCTGATATCATATGACACTGAAAAGTCTCACTGCACTTTGTGTAAAAACCCCTATGGTACTTTATACCTACTCATGTAAACTGGTTAAAACAAACCAGCAAATAAAATCTCTTTTACTCCTGTCAGCACACAGCCATGTATTTAAATTATACGATGTCCACAACCACAACCTAACCAACCCTCTTGGAACTTAAATATATCTTAGACACTGTTGATATAAAGTCCCAGAAAAATCCGTTAACAGTTCATTGAGTTAGCGTAAACAAATAGCCTTTCCATCTCCCTTCCTTTCTTCTGGACAGCATACACATTAATAATGTTTATGTTCATGGTGCCCCTTAGAATTAAACCCTAGCATAAACCAACTGTTTAAAGGTTCCAACAGGTAAATTTTTAAGTATTTAGAACCCCCTTTATTTTCCAAAAATTTCGTTTAGGGCCCCAAAGGCAGAAAAATGCCGAAAATACCCCCGAAGGGGTATCTGTTCAAAGGAGCTGGCTCCCCCCCATGGGAGCCGGCTCTTTATCTTCCAGAGCCGGCTCTCCCTCATGGAGAGCCGGCTATACTTGCTTGGGAGCCGGCTCCCTCACTTAGGGAGCCGGCTCTCTCTCCTTGAGAGCCTGCTCCTTCGCCTCTGACCTTCGTCTTCGGTTCCGGTGCCATTCCAGCCATCCGTCCCACCTTTGATATAAATTTTTAAACTTCCTAGAGTTCAATTTACATCCACACAGTCCTAGAACCTCCTCACATCCCCTTAGGATTTGATTTACAGAAGCTTAAATTCTTGTCGCAGCAGTTGAAGCAAAGAACAATTCCAGAAACACAAAAACGTAAAAACAGATTTCAGTTTGGTTCATTATGCATAAATATTCGTTTTAAAGTTTAATTACATTCCTAGGGTTCCGTCTAAGTTCCTAGAGTCCTAGAAACTCTTCACCTTCCACCATGAATTAATTTACAAAAAATCTCAATTCATAAACAAACACAGTATGCAGGAAACCGATTCCAGTTCTTTAAACACAACAAGTTACAGTCTGTTACACATGCATCAACCATCAGTTTTAAAGTTGAATTAACCCTGGAGACTATATAGAATGCACAGAACACAAGTTTACAGGAATGAGAGAATGAAACTTGCCTTTAGGTTTCGATTCGAAACCTTTCAACGCCGTTGCTAAATTTTCCAAGACTGTTCCCTCCTCTCATCACTGTTCTCTACCTTTGTTATGTCTTGGTTCAACCCACGCACAATCCCCTTAATTCACCTCTCAAGACCCTCACTGTGTATCTCTCTTCACATTCCAGAGCCTCTGTTTTTTCCTTTTCAAGATATTACAAGAATAGGGTTGCAGACATATAAGAATATATATATATATATATATATTGTCGTCCCCAATCCTAAGTCTGCTTATAACTTTATATATATATAGCCTTCTATGAAGCCCTAATCCTAGATCCAACCTAATGATATGTCGGCTACTATATGAAATAAAACCCTAACCCTAAACTATAAATACAACACACATAATTTTATAAGCTACCCAAAATTAAATTAAAACAATAATCAAATATTTAAATTAACCAAAAATTAAATTAAAACAATTACAATCAATTTAAACAAACACAATTACCAATTAAGCAAATAAAACAATTAAGCTAAACAAATAACAAATAAGTCCAATTATTAAATAAATAAAAAAAATGAAATACAAATCAAAATTGAAAATTAAATTCCCATTCCCATTTTATCCTTTTGAAAACTAGGGGTATTACACTATACATTTTGATTCATATTATTTTATTTCGATACCCTCTAGATCATATATCAAAAAATATAGTCAGAGTGCATCCTTAGGTCCAAAATACAGAAAATTAAGTCTTAATAAGAACCTAAACAAAGTTCAGACCACTATTTATTTTCTTCCAAGTTATGTACCCAAAGAAAAATTGTACTAGAACTTAAATATGTAACCTAGCAGCGGAGATTATCGCCTGGAGTGATACCAAGTTGGTTACAGTAGTCTGTGTAATAAGCTACACGAGCATTAACGGTGTCAGGGTTTGCACCATCACATTCAATTGCACTAAAGGCACGGATTGTTGCTTCGAACCCTTGTCCGATGACAGGGTGAACATTGTTCATCCAAAACCATAAGCCTGTCTTGAATGACACAACTGCATCTGATGCCACAATGTCAGGATTGTTGAGTCCATCAAATCCGATAGCATTTCCGGTTGGACCATAGTTGAAGTTCAATGTTAGCTGAATAGGACCTCGGCCATAGTAAGCCTTGCATGGTGCGTATAGATACTGTGTATTAGTTTGGTCGCAGAAGTTCCAATAGGGACCATCTGTCTCTTCAATATAGCAAAAGTCTGCACAAACAAAAGATTTAATTTGCTTGTTATTATTTATGTTTAGTGTTAAAGATAGATGTTAAAAATAATTAATACCATGTTCATTCATGTATATGTTCATTCATGCATCTGTTATTGTATCAAGTGGATACATGTATCAAGAGTGTACATGTATCATGTGTATGATTGAGATTGTCTTGAAAAACTCAAAGGTCTATGGGAGAATAGTATATATAGGGTAAGGTATTTGTCGTTAAGATCAACACAAACAAAGAGTTCAATACAATACAGCAAAATATTTGTTTATTCATTCTTCTCCTCTCTTCACTTAGAATTTATTTAGTTGGTTGAAACTACAGCCAACATAAGTGATATCAGAGCTTGATTTCGATTGAGAGCCAACTGGGCGTGAAGCTTATTGACGGGAAAGCAAACCCCGAAGAAGATCGATCGTGATGACGACTATAGGCAATCAAAACCAAGGTGCCCATCAATCAACACTTCCCTTTTTTATGGGGAAAATTATGATTTTTGGTATGTGAAGATGAAGACCATTTTTCTCTCATATGATTTATGGGATTATGTTGAAGATGAGTATGATAAACCGGAGGATACAACAACTTTGACGAATGCCCAAAAACAACAATTGAAAGATCACAAGAAGAAAGATGCAAAAGCTTTAGGCTTGATTCAACAAGGAGTTGCTAATACAATCTTTTCCAGAATTATCAATGCTTCTAAAGCAAAGGAAGCATGGGATATCCTCGAGAAGGAGTATAGAGGCAGCACGAAGGTAAGAACTATAAAACTCCAATCTTTGAGAAGAGATTTTGAAAATATGAAGATGAAATAAATGGAGTTGTTGAAGGATTATTTTTCTAAACTTATGGAGGTGGTAAATCAAATGAAGACCTATGGGAAAGAAATTTCTAATCAAAGAATTGTTGAAAAAATTCTAATTAGTTTGCCGGAAAAATATGACTCTATTGTTGCTGTTATTGAAGAGACTAAAGAGCTTGAAAACTTAAGTGTTGAAGAATTGATGGGTTCCATAAAAGCATTTGAGCAAAGATTGAGTAGGCGCTTCGAAAAGACAATTGAAAGTGTTTTTCAATCCAAGCTCAATGTTAGTTCCAAAAATCAAGAAAAATACCCATCAAGTTTTGATCTATTCAGAGGTGAATCTTCTAGAGGTGGAAGACATGGAAGAGGAAGAGGAAGAAATAATTTTGAGAGAAGTGGAAATAAAGAGTCCACTCAACAAAATTGTGGAATTTGCAAAAGAAGTAGCCATGTTGACAAAGATTGTTGGTTTCGGGGAAAACCTCAATGTTTCAATTGCAAGAAATTTGGACATGTTCAAAAAGATTGCCGGTTAAAAACAAACCAGCAAGCTAATTTTTCCGAAGAGCAAGAAGGTGAAGCGAGCATGTTTTATGCTTGTCACACGACATCGGAACAAAAGGATGATGTGTGGTTTCTTGATAGTGGGTGTAGTAACCACATGACCGGAGATAAAAATATATTCTTGGAGATTGATTCTTCATCAAATTCTCAAGTGAGGATGGGAAATGGTGCCTTGGTCCAAGCAAAGGGAAAAGGTATTATTGCCATAGAGACAAAAAAAGGAAGAAAGCATATTCAGGATGTGTTACTTGTTCCGGATTTGGAGCAAAATTTGTTAAGTGTTGGATAACTTGTAGAGTATGGATACTCCATTCATTTTGATGAAGACTCTTGCAAATTTTATGACAAAGGAGGACAAAATCATATTGTGGCAAAAATCAAGATGGGCAAAAATAGAAGCTTTCCTCTCACTTTTTCATGTTAAAAAAATATGGCCTTGAAAATGAATGTTGTTGATGAGTCATGGTTTTGGCATAGAAGACTTGGGCATTTGAATTTCCAAAGTTTAAAGAATTTACAACAAAATAGCATAGTGTATGGGCTGCCAACAATACAAGAAGTTAAAGAGTTGTGAAGGTTGTGCTCTTGGCAAGCATCACCGAGAGTCGTTTCCGAAAGAGAATGCATGGAGGGCTAAAGCACCATTGGAGCTTGTTCATACCGATGTGTGTGGACCGATGAAAACACCAACTTAAGCGGGTAACAAGTATTTATTATTTTCGTTGATGATTTTTCAAGAATGACATGGATTTATTTCATGAGACAAAAATTAGATGTGTTCTCTATTTTCAAAAAATTTCAAAAGCTTGTTGAAAGGCAAAATGGCCATCTTATCAAAGTGTTAAGAAGTGATAGAGATAGAGAATACAACTCAAATGAGTTTGAAAAGTTTTGTGAAGATATTGGCTTGGAGAAGCAATTAACAATTGGGTACACTCCACAACAAAATGGAGTGGCAAAAAGAAAAAATAAAACAATCATTGAGATGGGAAAATCAATGCTTCATGAGAAGGGGATACTTAAATCATTTTGGGGTGAAGCCGTGTATACGGCTGTTTACTTGATGAATAGGTGTCCAACAAAAGCGGTGGAGAATAAAACTCCATTTGAAGCATGGAGTGGAAAGAAGCCATCATTTAATCACTTGAAAGTTTTTGGGTATATTTGTTTTGCTTATGTTCCAAGAGAAGTGAGGCACAAACTTGATGAACTAGTGAAAAATGCATCTTTGTGGGTTACAGCTCAAAATCAAAGGGCTATAGGCTCTTTAATTTGAAGAAGAATAAATTGATTATTTTTAGAGATGTTCTCTTTAACGAGAAGTCTACTTGGGATTAGAAAAAGAAGAAAGTTCAAGATCAAATCCCCATTTTCAATGAAGAATCAGGAAATCAAAAAAGTGAAAATGAAGATTTTCTTGAAGTTCCACAAGAAATGTCTCCCGTATTTAGCTTACAATCAATCCAAACTTCTCCATCAAACTCAAATTCTTCATCTCTAAGTTCAACTCCAAGAATAATGAAAAGTCTTAGTGATGTGTATACAAGTTGCAATTTTTGTGTTGTTGAACCGAAGAACTTTGAAGAAGCAATTAAACAAGAAGCATGGAAGAAAGCTATGGAAGATGAAATTTATGTGATTGAGAAGAACAAGACTTGGGAATGAGTAAAGAAACCAGAAGACAAAGATGTGATTGGTGTGAAATGAATTTTTAAAACAAAATTCAATCCGGATGGCTCCATTCAAAATAACAAAGCAAGACTTGTAGCAAAAGGGTATTCACAACAGCCCAGAATTGATTTTGAAGAAACTTTTTCACCTGTGGCTCGTCTTGACACAATTACAGCACTCATTGCCTTGGCAGCTCAAAATGGTTGGTCCTTGTATCAACGTGATGTAAAATTAGCCTTCTTGAATGGTGTTTTGAAAGAGGATGTCTATGTAGAATAACCTTAAGGCTTTGTTGCAAAAGGAGAAGAAGAGAAAATTTACAAATTAAAGAAGGCTTTGTATGGCCTAAAACAAGCACCCCGGGCATGGTATAGTGAGGTTGATTCTTACTTCATCAAAAAAGGCTTTCAAAGGAGCAAAAGTGAGCCAACCTTGTACTACAAGACACAAGGTAAAACTGGAATTCTTATTGTTTCTCTTTATGTTGATGATTTGGTATTTACCGGTAGTGATGGAAAAATGATTGATGATTTTAAAAGAAAGATGATGAAAAAATATGAAATGAGTGATTTGGGTTTGTTGCATTACTTCTTGGGCATTGAAATTTATCAAAAAGAAGGAGGAGTTTTTATATGTTAAAAGAAGTATGCAAAAACTCTTCTTGAAAAATTCAAAATGTTGAATTGCAAATCCGTTTGCACTCCCTTGGTTGTGAATGAAAAATTGGTGAAAGAAGATTGAAGTAAAGAAGCGGATGTATCTCTCTATAGAAGCTTGGTTGGAAGTCTATTATATTTGACATCTTTAAGACCCGACATCATGTATGCTACAAGCTTATTATCTCGGTTTATGCACAATCCAAGTCAAATTCATGTTAAGGCTGAAAAGAGGGTGTTGAGATATATACAATGTACACTTGATTTTGGCATCTTGTATGAGAAAAATGTTGATGCAAAGTTGTTTGGTTTTTGTGATAGTGATTGGGCCGGATGTGTTGATGATATGAGAAGTACTTCCGGTTATGCATTCTCTCTTGGTTCGGGTGTATTTTCATGGGCATCTAAAAAGCAAGAAACGGTGGCACAATCTTCTACTAAGGCTGAGTATATTTCAGCATCATTGGCAGCGTCACAAGCAATATGGCTAAGGAGAATTTTTGAAGATGTTGGTGAGAAGCAAAGAGAAGCTACTCCAATTTTATGTGACAACAAATCCGCAATTGCTATGATAAAGAATCCTATTTTCCATAGTCGCACAAGACACATTGCAATCAAGCATCACTTCATTAGAGAAGCCGTGGAGAATGAAGAGATTCAACTCAAGTATTATAAGACAGAAGACCAAGTTGCGGACATTTTTACCAAAGCACTTCCAAAAAATAAGTTTGAATACTTTAGAGAATTGTTGGGTGTCACAACATGGCATTAAAGGGGGGGGGGGGGTGTTAAAAATAATTAATGCCATGTTCATTCATGTATATGTTCATTCATGCATCTGTTATTGTACATGTATCAACTGGATACATGTATCAAGAGTGTACATGTATCAAGTGAGTGCATGTATCATGTGTGTGGTTGAGATTATCTTGAAAAGCTCAAAGATCTATGGGAGAATAGTATATAGAGGGTAAGGTATTTGTTGTTAAAATCAACACAAACAAAGAGTTCAATACAATACAGAAAAATATTTATTTATTTATTCTTCTCCTCTCTTTACTTAGAATTTATTTAGTTGGTTGAAACTACAGCCAACAGTGGGCTGGTTAGGTTTCAGTTGTAACTGCTATGGACTAATGGTTTGAAATGTTGGATTGGCACAAATATGTTTGTGTTTTGTCGCTGCTCATTTTGTTGCCTTTGACCTGTTGGCTTGTTAGGCCTTGGGCATATGTTTATTAAGTGTGTGAAAACATACGCACATATAGATACTGGCGCGCACTTGCATATATACAACGTATGAATTTATATAGAGAGAGAGAGGGTGAAATCTTACGTCCAATTTCAAATGTTATATGTGAAAAGAAAGCTGCAATCTCACGCTTGGAATCATCAGCAGAACCAGTGGTGCCAAATTGAGAATAAGAATTGGCAGCTTCAAGAAATGCAGCTCTGGTGTAGAAGCTCTTTCCGGCACAATTCTCACCGGCTTGGCCGATGATGCCATTAAAGAACCCATCTGTCACAACATCAGCCACCGAGACACCACTACTAGGAGTACTAGGCGTGGTCGTGCCGATGCAAGGACCCGCTTGGCAACCTGTGCCACAATAGTCAATGGTAGTGCCACAGAACCCAAATTGACTACAGCACAGATTCGCGGCACAACTGCAGTTCTGACCCACCACGGATTCCGGCAGAGATCTGGTGAGGATTCCGGTCAGAACGACTGTGAGTAAGGTTTTCCCTAAATTGAAAGCAACCATTTTGAAAAGAAAAGTTATATATGGTTATTTAGAAGAGCAATGTGCGGGGTAATGATAAGGTTGAGAGGGGTATTTGTACTGTGTAGTCAATGGAAAATGCCAAAGAAAAGTTATATATGGTTGTTTCAAATTCAAGTTTGGCACGCAATTTCGTAGAATGCTGATGCGTGTATGGTTTGGTCAGTGGTTGATTATGATGAATTATTTTGTTTTATTTTATTTTAAAGTAATTCTACAATGTTCGTTCGATTTTTTGTGCTGCTCCAAACGATGGTGTTAACAAACAATTTTTAGTAGGACAAGATAAACTCTCTCTCCCGTATTGTATCTCCATAACGAAAATTGATATATTGAAACTTTTATATCATCTTTCTTTATTTTATTTCATTTTATTTCCAAGTACACAAATAATTAATGAGCATGACTTGAATATCAAGTCCTGATATAAATTTTCAATTTAATTGATATATATATATATATATATATATATATATATTCATGATCCTTCTTTTTCATAGCTAACCGGTGGTTCAACAGTAGTTCTACTATATCATTTGAACCTACTTAGATTTCTATTGGTGAATTGATTATTGGTTTCCTAATGGTCCATTGATTACTCAGCTTAGCCCAACTGATGTGAAAATCTTCAACAGGACGTGCATGCTACACTTGATAGCCTAATTTAATTATTGGGCTATACCTCAGCCTCCCCCAATTACATTTCTCAACATTCCTCCATTCACTTCTCAGCTTAATTCTCTCACTCCTCTGTTTTCTCAGAGGGACACTAGCTGTAGTACGGATTTCATCTCCCTCAACCTCCTTTTCTTCTCCCCATACCCTTTCCTTTGTATCCCATCCTACTCCCTCAATTCCATGGCATCAACTGATTTGGTTTTAGTTTCACATTCCCTTAATTGAGTGGAAATCCTGTGATTCTTCATTCCATTCTTCTATATTAACATGTAATAGAAAGCGTTACAGCATGGAATCCCTTGAGTTATTTCAATTCTTCCCTTCTTTCTTGCTATATGAAAGGGTAAAACAAGTAGGTCATCCACTGCATATCTCCGCATCCCAAATGTCTGTTTTGTGTTCTTGTCCAAGGTAGTGTCTTTAAGCCATCTCTTCTTCCAATTTCAGTATTCTTCCTCCATTTGGAACTATACTTTGATACTACATGTTTTTATATATATGTGACGTCTGACATCGCTTGGGAAAAAAGTTTGTTGACATTTGTATATGTGAGTACTACCACTCAACTGTGTAGACGCGGTTTGAGAAAAATAAAGGAAATGTGCAAAGTGGACAATATCTACACGGTGGGATAGGTCGTGACAGATGGTATTAGAACTAACCCCAGCCGGAAATGGGAGGAGTGAGCACAAGCCCATGAGGGTATGCTACGTTCTAAGATAGTGTGATTATGACGTCCCATATTGCCAACGTAAACATCCTTAATTGTGTAGACACATTTTGAGAAAAATTATAAGTACCGATAGAAAAGTCTGCAAAGCAGATAATATCAACACGTTGCAAGGCAGGTCATGACATAGTTGTATCAAAGCCAATTCCCAACAGGAAATGGGGGCGTGCACAAGCCCATGAGGGACTGTAAGCTGGGGAGGAAGCTGAATTCCAAGAAGGGGTGATTGTGATGTCTCATAAAGGGGAAATATTGTTTACACTGATGTATACACACCTCCCAATTGTGTAGACTCACTTTGAAAAAAACACAAGAAAATATGCAAAGTGAATAACATCAACACAGGTGATCGAGAGAGGTCGTGACACTATATCTTGCCCAACAGTTGGACTGAACTGATTGATTGGGGTGGTTCTAACTGTTGCTCCAGTGGGAACTCTTTTCTCATCAACAAGCTCATTCTCTCCTTTGCAATTTACTCATTTGGCTACCTTTCAAAAAAAATACACATTTGGTTTGAAAGGAATGCTAGGTGTTCAAGGCATACCATCTTAGCTACAAGCAGTCATTGCCTTGATCAGAGAGTCTAAAAGTAACAGATTAACTTCAATCAAGCTGCAGAGTAGTGATGTGCTCTGGCAAATAGAGAATCACTGGTATCTTCATAAGCTTTCTATTCGCGGAAACACAATCGAATCTGCTCAAAGATGTCTCAGAGACTCCTAAAGCCTGGCAGTGCTAATTGTCTTGTGCTCTTCTGTGTGTACTTCGATTTTCTTGGCACTTAGCAGTAGCTATGTTTATTGTTTCATAGCAGTGGCTATTGTGTTCTCAGGCATAAAATGGCTTGTTTAGTTCCTTGTGAGTATTTCTGTACATTCTTTTTCTATAGTACTTCCCCATTTTACCCAAAAAAGAAAAGAAAAAAAAGAAGACTTACACAAAGTTTCTACTAGCACCCCAATTCAACACAACTATAAATAATATAACTAATCAAATGTAATTGATCGAAAATGCTTTAGATCGAGTTGAAATCACATGTAATTTCCGGAGCATTTACAGTAATATTTGTGTCACAAACATACTATTTTTCCACTAATATAATATTTGACGAGAACCGGTCCTTAGTGATGGGCCAACCAATTTTGCAAGAAAAAGGTGCGTAAAATGCAGTATTTTAAGACTATAACCAGAAAAAATGCGTTCGTTAATGCTCAAGAGTGGTGGTGGTCCTGGTGGACCTTGTCAAGTAAGTTCAAGTCAAGTTTTTTGTCTTCTGATTTGAAAAAAAAGGATTACATAAAAATATATTTTACATTCTCAAGCTTATCATATAACATATAACATCAACCAAATGATAAATTTTAATTTCTATCATTTATTTGGATCCCTTCTAGATCATAAATCAAAACAAGTAGTTAGAAGAGTATATTATTAGCTCCAAAATACGGGAAGTATCAATAAGAACCTAAACAAAGTTCAGACCACTCTTTATATTCTTCCCTGTCGTGTACCCAAAGAAAATTTGTACTAGAAGAACTTTAATATGTGAATTAGCAGCGGAGATTATCACCAGGCGCGACACCGAGTTCGTTGCAGTAGTCCGTGTAATACCCTACACGAGCGTTAACAGTGTCAGGGTTTCCACCATCACATTCAAGAGCACCATTGATGGCACGGATGGTTGCCCCGAACCCTTCTCCGATGACAGGGTGAACAAAGTTCATCCAATACCATAAGGCCGTCTTGAACGACACAAGTACGTCTGAAGCCACAATGTCAGGGTTGTTTAGTCCATCAAATCCGATAGCTTTTCCGGCTGGACCATAATTGTAGTTCCATGATAGCTGAATAGGACCTCGGCCATAGTAACCCTTGCCTGCTACACATGGATACTCTGTATTGTCTTCGTCGCAGTAGTCCTTAGAGGGACCATCAATCTCTTCAGTATAGCAAAAATCTGCACAAAAAAAATGGATATAATTTGCTTGTTATATTTATGTTTTATAACAATAGTTTATTACTGAATACTGATATATGTTCATTTTACTATAGCAAAGCTCTAAATATCAACTTCATTTTACTTTTATGTGCATGTCTATATATTATTAATGCACATACATATTAATTCTATGCCAACACGTGTACCAAAAATGTGCTACAATCCTTTTGAGAACTTTATGATACGCAGGGTATATGTAGATGTAGGTATGTGTTATAAACTCATGGAAGTCAAAACTTATGATATGGCAAGACTTTATGTATCAATGATATATATATATGTATATATGCATGTCTATATATTATTAATGCACATACATATTAATTCTATGCCAACACGTGTACCAAAAATGTGCTACAATCCTTTTGAGAACTTTATGATACGCAGGGTATATGTAGATGTAGGTATGTGTTATAAACTCATGGAAGTCAAAACTTATGATATGGCAAGACTTTATGTATCAATGATATATATATATATATATATATATATATATATATATATATATATATATTTCTTAGGATACTTTGCTTAGCATTTTGCTTGTGCTTAGGATACTTTGCTTGGTAGTTGGTAGATCTCTGCTAAAGCTTGGTGTCACTTTTCCAAGGCTGTCCCTCATCACCCTCATGTTTGTAAAATTCACACACCTTAAAAACTGAAATTAGGGACTTAATTTTTATATTACTTTTTCTAAATTTCAAGCTAGCGCACAATATTACTCTTAACAGACACTTAGCATCTCCTTTGACAAAGAGAGATCATCCATCAGAACTAGTGCGCTTTTAACATGTATCATGTGTTTGGTTGTCAATATTAATAAGTATGCATTATGTCTATGTTAACAGTACTTTTACCATGATATGCAACAACCCTCTTCAAAAGCTACTTATGAGTTTGTGAATCGATGTATATAGATTATAGACAAATACGTGCAATGCACTAGCATATAAATTTGTATATCTATCTACCTATAAAATTCTTTATATATATATATTTAGAGAGAGGTAATGAAATCTTACGTCCAGTTTCATGTGTCACATGTGCAAAGAAAGCCGCGATCTCACGCTTGGAATCATCAACAGAACCAGTGGTGCCAAATTGAGAGTAAGAATTAGCAGCTTCAAGAAATGCAGCCCTGGTGTAGAAGCTCTTTCCGACGCAATTCGCAGCAGCTACGTCGATGATGGCATTAAAGAACGCGTCCGTCACAACATCAGCAACAACGACGCCACTACTAGGACTGACATAGCAAGGACCCTCTTGGCAACCTGTGCCGCAATAGTCATTGCCAGTGCCACAGTACCCATACCGACTACAGCACTGGTCTGCGGCGCAACCGCAGTTCTGACCCACCACGGATTCCGGCAGAGATCCGAGGAGGATTCCGGTCAGAATGATGGTGAGTAAAGTGTTTGCCAAATTGAAAGCAACCATTGTTGGAAAGAATTGGTGTCAGAATTAGAACAGAAATGAGTGGTGGTGTACTGGTAAGGTTGAGACTTGGGAGATATTTATAATGTGAAGTCAATGGAAACTGCCAAGCAAATGGTATGAACAGTATGATTGTTGCAAATTCAATTTTGACCCGCAATTTTCTAGAAGAACATACTAATGCGTGTATGGATTGGTCTATGGTTGACTTTGACTTTTCAATTGGGGGATTTCCTTAAGAAAATTTATTTTGAAATAATTTCTCATGGAGGATAAGTAATTAGTGAGCATGAAAATAATGTCCAAAATATAAATTTGGAAGTTGGTAAATATATATATATATATATATATCTTCATGGATCATCCATTGCATTAGGATGGTGAATTATTGGGCTAGTAGCACTAAGTTTCTTAATTAATTAGGTGTCTAATCAAAGTTTAGTAAATGAAGTATGGATTGCTTAATAAATTAGCCTCATGCAACTTTTAATTTATGTGATTAAGGACTAACAGGATTATAATGTCATTAATATTTTGAAGTCATGCATATGCTATCATTACTCTTGAAATATTTGAATCCCCTGTAAATTTTAAAAAAAAAATAAAAAATAAAAAAACTAATTTGATGCCCACTTTTATTTGGAAAATTATTGGGAGCCTATTTGATTTTGATGTTCGTTGAATTTGCATGGCTTAAATTGCCTTAAACGTCATCTACTTCAATGGAGTCATTTATTAAGAGGAAATTATATTGGCATTATCTAATTGCCTAGCGTAACAAAAGTCATTTGTTTCACGTCAAATTCGGATAAAAAAGTGGCTAGGTATAAATGGGTGGGTATGCAACATTACCCAACAGCTTAAATTTTTAGGTAAATGAGTAAGCGTCCACCCGTTACACCTAGTATAACAAGGAAAGTTAACATCTAACCCATATATAATCCCATTCATTTTTTTAAATCTAGATCCCACATGATTTAATGTCGGACAAGTTTCCCCTTATTACATTCTCCTCCACTCGAACTCGCAACATCTTCATTGTGGCTCTGACCACCCGCCTACCTAGGGTGCAGACTCGGACGCTCTCCGGGTTGAACGTTTGGAGTGATACCGAATCAAAGATTAAGCCATTAGGTGGTACCAAATTAATATTTTAGGTAAATAGACAAATACACACTCGTTACAGTTGGAATAAGAGCCACCACGGATAAGCAAGGTGGCCAGAGAAGCAACGAATGCATTGCGAGTTCGAGTGGAGGAGAATGTAACAAAGGAAAGCTTATCCCACATCGAATTATGTGAGATTTGGACGGAAAAACTAATGGGGATATATATGAATTGAGTGTTAATTTCACCTAATAGTTTAAGTAGGTGTGTTCATATTTGAGTCTCTATTCTCTCAAATTGTATTTACTCTCTCAAATTTATATTTACCTTGATTTTATCAAAATAAATAAATAAATAAAGAAGAAAAAAATCCAGATTACGTATGGAATGCATCTTTTAGGAATTTAAATAATGAATCGATGAATGTTTGAATTTTTTAATTTTTTGTTTCTCGATTGCACGCATAGGATCTTTTAATTAGGATAGCCACATCACTGTCACTTTCACTACCTTATAGACTCAAGTTAGCTAACTGTTTTTCATATAAGACATAATAAGCTCTTACCCTAAAACTATTTATTTATTTTATTTATTTATATATATATATTTTTTGTCACTTAAGAGGATAACAAATTTCACCACGGTAACGCAGTTCACCCCCGCAGCCCCTTCATCGCTAATTTCGTACCGCCGCCCTACGGGCACTTCTAGAATTACTTCATGTTGTGTTGGATCTGCTTACATTGTATTTCTTACGACAGACAAATTTTAATGACGTAGTAAAATCTTAACCCATGTTTTGTTTTTATGTAACAAAACCTAAATTTGACTTTTGAAAGTCAAATTTCTCAATCTGAATCGCAAGAGGGTGTTCAAAAGAGTAGTAAAGCTGATCAAGTCTGACAATTTTACAGAAAAAGTAAAATCCACTTGGCACCATTGTCTAATTTGTCCAAGACCAAATATCCCAAGCTTTCAGCTCCTAAGGCATATGTGAGAGCATGGTAAATCTTAAAAATAAAAAATATAAAGTGGCGGATGTGTTAGGGTGGATTTGAATGTCCCTTGTATTCAGATAGTCTAAATTACCATTTACACAAATTACAATCTCTCGTAATTATGTTTTATTTATTTATTTTATTTTTTATAAAGTTGGCAAGAAGTTTTATGCAATTACTTTGTTTAGGTAAAAATTTGAACCTTCAATCTATAACCTTTGGTAATCTCTAAAGTCATTGGAGTTCTTTTTATTTCATGTCATATACATGCACATATATGACATATTATGTAACATAATTATTACGAAGTTTCTAGGAACACCATGCAATTGAAAAATGTTTTAGGTCAAAATTGCACCTAATCTTCCCTTTTATTAATGTAGTAGTCGATGCTGACCGATCCTAGCGATAGGCCCACTAATTTAATTGGAAAGAAAAACATCCTTAGTGATGGACCCACTAATTTAATTGGAAAGAAAAAGAAATATGGAATGGCAGTATTACCAGACTTTAACCTTAATGGGAGGACGTTTTTTTTTTTTGTTAATGCTCAAAGGGACGAGTGGTCTGTCGGTGGTCGACCATGTCAGAATATTAAAGTCAATTCCGTGTAGCATTCTCATCCTCTTTTCTCAACGTAAGACGTAAATGAAAATTACAATAAAGAGTAACAATGACACTCTTATTAACTTTTCGTTACTTACCAATGGGGAGTATCGTATATGTTCTGGCTTACAAAAGTATATAAGGAAATGATCCAAATACTTACCTTTAACTTTTTAACCACCCATCTCTCTCTTTCCAAATGATCCTATTTCTCCCCCAGCCCACCTTCAGGAAAATATATTCGGTGTGTACGGTGGACAGTAGCAGTGGCATAATCAAAATTTTTTTCCTATGGGGACAATCTTTAATGGCAAAATAAATAAATAAATAATATATCTATACATATATATATAATTTGAACCAAAACAATATATGTAAAAATTAAAACATTAAATCATAATATTTCTGTACGATTTTTCAGATTATTCATTACTGTTTTAAAATTGAGTTTATTCAATTAAATATACTAAAAAAAAATTCATATTCAATGAATTAAGAATAAGATATGAAAAAGAAAATAATGCAGTTACATAAATGTTTTAATATATCACATATGTGAAAAAAAATAAAAACACAAACTAAAATTTAAAAGAACAAGCCCTAAAATAATTTCTATAGTAATAACTAATAATTTTTTGAATTAAAATTATAATACCAAATAATAATAATTTTAGATGATAAATATATATATATATATATATATATATATATATATATATATATATCAGATTACCTGTCTGCTGCACTGCAGTACGACTGAGTGAGTGTCTGTCTACTGGTAAATAGTTGCTCCGCTTGCTTTGTTTGGATTGTGAAAAATGTTGAAGATGAAGATATGATGGAAATAATCCATTTGTTTGTAGTAAAGTAAAAAAGTGTGGTAGAATATCACGATAAATTTTTTTTTTTTTTTTTTTTTTTTTGGAAAGTGTAAAAAATATAATATTTTGAGAAAGAGGAAAAAAATATCATAATTTCTGGGAAAGTATAATTTGATAGATATATTATATATATTTACAATTGTGTCATGATTATATTCCTCTCGTGAATGGGCTTTATGTTTTTTATATATATATAGTATATATGCGTGCACTGTCAAATTTTAGAGAGGCAATATTACAAATATAAAAATCTTTCTATATAAAATTTTAAAAAATTAAAAGTTGAGTGGGGGCAATTGCCCCCACTTGTCCCTCTTTGGCTATGCCACCGTCAGGGTTGTCTATTCTTGCTCGTATTGTGCACGAATGAATATGATATGCCTGGTTTGCACTAGGCCATTAGGGTCATCCGTTTCCGTACGTATGGTGCATGAACTAATATGATGTGCCCGGTGTGCACCGGGCCATTAGAGTCATTCAAAAGTGAGTGACTCTGGCACTTGTTCAACATTCCCTTTCCTTGTGAGCTCTTTCTCTTATTAATAGCCTTCCCCTAGCTCTCCTCTGGGAACTTTCACATCATGACGTTCCCTTCAATCCCCTTCCTCTGTAGAATAATCTCTTTATGAAGCATCGCTGGCAAGCATCTATCCTTTCAGTCATTCACTAAGCTTCCTTTTATGAGCACGCTCCTTATTAGTCACCCTTTCACATCACAAGGACCAACTCTCCCTTCTGTTTCATGGGGATTGATGAAACTTCGCTTGTTAGTGAGTGGTATCGCTCCATTTGATCTGATGAACTGACTTAATGGCGGGACGGAGGTTTGGGACAAACGAGGGGGACAGACGCAGATGAGACTTCACCGTGGAACAAGAGCTGCTTATTCAACCTTCTTCACTTCCTAGAAAAGAGAGAGATATCAAACTTTGCCTCAAGCAATCCTATGAATGAAGTATTGTACTAGGTTACCGACCTTTAAGCACTTCCTCTAATAGATCCAAAAAGTGTTTACCCGCCCCTTTACCCGAATTAGATCAATTGTTTGTCCTTTGCCGACCTTATTTCGCTCTTAACTTGTCATGATCTCATCCGTTGAAAGGTGGAATGTAGATGAGATGCTTATCTACGCGTTTAGTTCCTAGCACGAGTGAAAGTCCAAATATACCTCTTTTTTCATTGCTTGCATGAGTTAGCTTAAAGTGAGATTTCTATCTCTTACTAGTTCTTCTCTACTAAAGAGGAAAGAAGCAAACCTGGCTCGAAGGGCGAAAAGGAGGAGATGGAGAGGAGCTCTACTCAGATGGTATAGCAAAAAGGAACGAAGTCCTGCATCTGAACCCGCTGATTGCTCTTCATACGCCTGCTAGAAAGTCAAAACAAGGTTTTCCATAGCCAACAAAATACCCCTTATCTTCTTCAGTAAGGTCTGATACCGATCGGGAGGACATTTGTGAGCTAGATCTTAGTTTACG